TTGGTATAGAAAACGTTGGAAAATACTTTTCGTAATGATCTTTGAAACATGTTATTGATACCACGTAGTGCATAAAGAATAGATCTTTCGATCCATGTGCGACATGTGGGTGAAAGTGACGATTTGTTTCTAAAATATCAGTTTGAAGTGCGCTCCGGGTGCGGGTCGCATATTTCCCGCATATTATAGAGGGCCGGAGTTCTGACGTTAATCGACGACAGACCGATATGAAAAAAGTCGATAAAACGTCAGAATAATTCGGACTACGGTGGAGGGTGATGTAGTCATGTGTCTGTTACAGCGATCACAGTACGGTGCCATGGAGGGTGATGTAGTCATGTGTCTGTTACAGCGATCACAGTACGGTGCAATGGAGGGTGATGTAGTCATGTGTCTGTTACAGCCATCACAGTACAGTGCGGTGGGGGTGATGTACATGTAGTTGTGTGTATGACATCTGTTACAGAGATCACAGTACGGTGCGGTGGAGGGCGACCTGGCGTTGGCCATGAGTCTGTATCATGGATTTGAGCTACTACAACTACATGGCCAGCGCTCACTGTACAACTACCTAGAAAGTATCGTTAGTGGAGAAAAGGGACATGGTCGTACACGAACAGAGCTGATGAAGAATGCTAACTTTGTGGAAATGATGGAGAAACTCCGCAGTACATTTGTTTCTGACCCAAATATCAGGTCAGTTTTTTATCCAGAATACTGCTTTTCCAAATAAAAAATTGTGTGGAAATGTGAAGATTCACATGGTTAAGGATGTTTGCAAATGATATTTGACTAACAAATTCTTTAATCATGAATAAATCACTTCATGTTAGAAGCTTGTCTTTTATAATGTTGTGCTGTTTTAGTTGATTGTTTTCTTTGCTTAATTTCAGGAATTCTGTTATGAAAATTATGTTGAATGATCCTAAATCAACATTTGTATAAAGTTACTTGAGTAATGTACTTTGATATGCCTCCTCCAGTTTTTTTGCTTTGTATAGTAGTGTTGTTCCAAATAATCATTTTAATTAGTTGTTTTACCTCCATCTATGACTATTTGATCATGGTTTTCTGTGATAGATCATGGTATGACTTTAGCATGAAAACTGTCAAGAGTTATTTAGATTTGTCGCTGACCTGAAAAAAAGATTGAACAAACAAATAATAATATACAACATTTGATATAGCGCCCTATCTAGCTAACATAAGATACTCTTAAGCGATTTACAGTACATAGATATACAAATTAATACAATCAACATATACATTAATCAATACAAGTTTGAGGAATTTGCAGGAGCTGCGTTATCAGGCCTATGCCACCTGGCTAATATCTCCCTATGTGTGTATGTCTGCGTGTGTGCTGGAGATGTTATGTGTTCTGTTTGTAGTGGGACTGTGCTTCAAACGACATCATTTATAGTGCCACCTCACTTGAATGCTACAGCATAGATACCGCAACATCCACCTCAGACCAATTTATACTCCACCTGGGTTGTTTGGGTTGTGTGGGCAGGAGAAGAACACTCTCTGTATATGATTGGAAGGCCGAAGTGTCGACCAATCTGCCCAAATGAGTTCATAAGCTTTACCATAAACTGCATTCAATCAACATTTCTGCCTCTACTAGCTAGTTAAAAAGTATCCATTTTACTTCATTTCAGTGAATGCTTCTCTTTTTATTTACGTTTCATTTTATGATCAATCAATGATCAGTTATTAGTCGTTTGATGATAATAATAATAATTTGAGGTTCTTATATACCGCTCTATCACAACCTAGTTTGTAGGATGTCACAAAGCGGTTCACAATTTATTATCCATGGTTATAGGGCCTTTGCAACCCTGGGGAGCATACAGCCGGTGCTGCCATTTCGGCACTCACAGCTAGCATTCCACAATTCTAGCACTCATACTCATTTACAGCTGAGTAGACTAGAACAAACAGAGTAAAGTATCTTGCTCAAAGATACAATACAGTGCCGTGCCGTGACTCGAACCCGCAACCCTTCAGTCACGAGCCCGATAAAGAAAGCTAGACCAGAGCTTTCTTTTGGTAAAAATGACCAGGCTATTGGAACCAGAATAGATTTAGTTTGGCAGTGGTGTAGCACACATGTATGCTTGTATGCTCAAGCATACACTGAAATTTTCAAGATATCTTTTAATCATATATTTATTCTTAATTTCTTTTTTTATCTTACCGGGTATGATTAATATGAACCATTCATTTTAATCATAAAAAGGAAATAAATAAAAAAAAATCTTCTTAGAAATTTTAATTTCAAAGGTTTATGTAAATCAAATGTACTTAGTGAAGTACAAAATTTAATATTATTCATATAAAAAGTTGTGTTTTACTTGTTCATTATCAGATTTTAAAGAAATTCCCAGAAAACAGGATTGCTCCAGGGTCTAGTAGATTTTTTCCCCCAGTTAACTCCCCCTCCTCCGGCGCTATGCACCCCGGACGGTCGACCTTCTGTAAGCATACACCCCGAAAAATTATTTGCCATGCCACTGTTTGAAATACATTGTAGTGCTTTTTAAAACATCTTTGTAGTTTCTGTTTGTAAAACATTAAAATTGGATTTTTGCAATGTAATAAGTCTCTGAATCTTATCAACCAGACCTCAAAAATAGACCAGGGCCTGTAGCAGTACTCATGGAACTATTTCAGTGTTCAAGTATGAATTCTGTGTTTGAACCAATATTCTTGTAAATTGCTGAATTATCTTGACACTATCAAAAGGTTAGGTTCAGCAAATGAAACTTATATTTGGCTTCAAGCCTCTCTTTAGTTCCTACTAAGTATTTTCACAAAATATTTCAGTAATTTATCACCAGAAAAAGGAAAAGGTCTCAGAGCACAGAATCTGAGTTTTAACACATAAATGGTTTCATGGCTACCAGCCCTGGCCTTGTTAAGCAAGAAATCTTCTACTTAGCGTTAACTTCAACTACATATCAAATTTTCTCAGACTGAGCCAGAAGTACAAAGACGGGTTTAAGACGGGACATCCAAAGATGGAGAAATTAGAAGAGGTCGTAGTCAATCATTTTAACAACTTCCTGAAAGGTTTGTATAAACTGAATAATTTCATTTTGTCAGTCTCTTATTTTCTCTCAATATATAATATGTATTTTTGCAACAATGCAAACACAAATACTTTGACAAAATAAATATTTTGAAGAGCCATAATTAACATTTCCACTTTTATCAGTAACGGCTGCTTCTATATTTCATGGTGTCTGGCAACAATATTAGATGAAAGTTTGATTCAAGGAGATTTTCAGATATTTGTTTGTCTTGAGTAATTGAAGAACTATAATTAATATACAGCATTTGATATAGCGCCCTATCTAGCTAACATAAGCCACTCTAAAGCACTCTACAGTACATAGATATACAATTGATATAATTAGCATATACATAAATCAACACATTTTTTTTGAGGATTTCAAACTATTCATCTGATAAAACTGTTTGATCTCCTCATACTTTATGTACAATAAAACTTGTGTTAAATTCAGGGTTCAGTTTACACATGAATCTGGATTACTGAGGTTTTACTTTAGACAGGTTCTGATTTTAACATTCTGCTGTACCATAGGTGGAAGTGTAGAGGAGAAGTCTCAGGCGACGCGGGTGATGATTTTCTCCCAGTACCGGGACAGCGTGTCTGAAATAACGGAAATACTCAAGCAGCATCAACCTTTGGTCAAGGTCATGAGCTTCATTGGTCAGTCTTCTGCTGGCAAGGCCACCAAGGGATTCACACAGAAGGAACAACTCAAGGTAGAGTGACCCTAATGTCCAGGGCCAGTGTGTTCCAGGTCTTATTAGCCAGGTAGAGTGACCCTAATGTCTAGGGCCAGAGTGTTCCAGGTCTTATTAGCCAGGTAGAGTGACCCTAATGTTCACGGTCAGAGTGTTCCAGGTCTTGTTAGCCAGGTAGAGTGACCCTTATACTAGGGCCAGAGTGTTCAAGGTAGAGTGACTCTTATGTCTAGAGCCAGAGTGTTCCAGGTAGAGTGACCCTTATGTCTAGGGCTAGAGTGTTCCAGGTAGAGTGACCCTTATGTCTAGGGCCAGAGTGTTCCAGGTAGAGAGACCCTTATGTCTAGGGCCAGAGTGTTCTAGGTAGAGTGACCCTTATGTCTAGGGCTAGAGTGTTGCAGGTAGAGTGACCCTTATGTCTAGGGCCAGAGTGTTCTAGGTAGAGTGCCCCTTATGTCTAGGGCCAGAGTGTTCCAGGTAGAGTGACCCTAATATCGAGGGCCAGAGTGTTCCAGGTAAAATGAACCTAATGTCGAGGGCCAGAGTGTTCCAGGTAGAGTGAACCTAATGTCTAGGGCCAGAGTGTTCTAGGTAGAGTGACCCTTATGTCTAGGGCCAGAGTGTTCCAGGTAGAGTGACCCTTATGTCTAGGGCCAGAGTGTTCCAGGTATTGTTAGCCAGGTAGAGTGACCCTAATGTCTAGGGCCAGAGTGTTCCAGGTAGAGTGACCCTTATGTCTAGGGCCGGAGTGTTCCAGGTATTGTTAGCCAGGAAGAGTGACCCTAATGTCTAGGGCCAGAGTGTTCCAGGTATAGTGACCCTTATGTCTAGGGCCAGAGTGTTCCAGGTATTGTTAGCCAGGTAGAGTGCCCCTAATGTCTAGGGCCAGAGTGTTCCAGGTAGAGTGTCCCTTATGTCTAGGGCCAGAGTGTTCCAGGTAGAGTGTCCCTTATGTCTAGGGCCAGAGTGTTCCAGGTCTTGTTAGCCAGATAGAGTGACCATTATGTACAGGGCCAGAGTGTTCCAGGTCTTGTTAGCCAGATAGAGTGACCATTATGTACAGGGCCAGAGTGTTCCAGGTCTTGTTAGCCAGATAGAGTGACCCTTATGTCCCGGGCCGGAGTGTTCCAGGTCTTGTTAGCCAGGTAGAGTGACCTTTATGTCCAGGGCCAGAGTGTTCCAGGTCTTGTTATCCAGATAGAGTGACCCTTATGTCCAGGGCCAGAGGGTTCCAGGTCTTGTTAGCCAGGTAGAGTGACCTTTATGTCCAGGGCCAGAGTGTTCCAGGTCTTGTTACCCAGGTAGAGTGACGCTTATGTCCAGGGCCAGAGTGTTCCAGGGCCTGTTAGTCTGTTGTTGTTCTGTTGTGCACTTGATGGGACTTGTATTGTCTGTGGTCTAGAGTGTTCCAGGTAGAGTGACCCTTATGTCTAGGGCTATAGTGTTCCAGGTAGAGTGACCCTTATGTCTAGGGCCGGAGTGTTCCAGGTATTGTTAGCCAGGTAGAGTGCCCCTAATGTCTAGGGCCAGAGTGTTCCAGGTAGAGTGACCCTTATGTCTGGGGCCAGAGTGTTCCAGGTATTGTTAGCCAGGAAGAGTGACCCTAATGTCTAGGGCCAGAGTGTTCCAGGTAGAGTGACCCTTATGTCTAGGGCCAGGGTGTTCCAGGTATTGTTAGCCAGGTAGAGTGACCCTAATGTCTAGGGCCAGAGTGTTCCAGGTAAAATGAACCTTATGTCGAGGGCCAGAGTGTTCCAGGTAGAGTGAACCTAATGTCTAGGGCCAGAGGGTTCTAGGTAGAGTGACCCTTATGTCTAGGGCCAGGGTGTTCCAGGTATTGTTAGCCAGGTAGAGTGACCCTAATGTCTAGGGCCAGAGTGTTCTAGGTAGAGTGACCCTTATGTCTAGGGCCAGAATGTTCCAGGTCTTGTTAGCCAGGTAGAGTGACCTTTATGTCCAGGGCCAGAGTGTTCCAGGTCTTGTTATCCTGGTAGAGTGTCCCTTATGTCCAGGGCCAGAGTGTTCCAGGTCTTGTTACCCAGGTAGAGTGACGCTTATGTCCAGGGCCAGAGTGTTCCAGGGCCTGTTAGTCTGTTGTTGTTCTGTTGTGCACTTGATGGGACTTGTATTGTCTGTGGTCTAGAGTGTTCCAGGTAGAGTGACCCTTATGTCTGGGGCCAGAGTGTTCCAGGTATTGTTAGCCAGGAAGAGTGACCCTAATGTCTAGGGCCAGAGTGTTCCAGGTAGAGTGTCCCTTATGTCTAGGGCCAGAGTGTTCCAGGTATTGTTAGCCGGGTAGAGTGACCCTAATGTCTAGGGCCAGAGTGTTCTAGGTAGAGTGCCCCTTATGTCTAGGGCCAGAGTGTTCCAGGTAGAGTGACCCTTATGTCTAGGGCTAGTGTTCCAGGTAGAGTGACCCTTATGTCTAGGGCCAGGGTGTTCCAGGTATTGTTAGCCAGGTAGAGTGCCCCTAATGTCTAGGGCCAGAGTGTTCCAGGTCTTGTTAGCCAGGTAGAGTGCCCCTTATGTCCAGGGCCAGAGTCTACCAGGTCTTGTTAGCCAGGTAGAGAGACCCTTATGTCCAGGGCCAGAGTGTTTCAGGCCTTGTTAGCCAGGTAGAGTGACCCTTATGTCCAGGTCCAGAGTGTTCCAGGTCTTGTTAGCCGGGTAGAGTGACCCTTATGTCCAGGGCCAGAGTGTTCAAGGTCTTGTTAGCCAGGTAGAGTGACCCTTATCTCCAGGGCCAGAGTGTTCCAGGTCTTGTTAGCCAGGTAGAGTGACGCTTATGTCCAGGGCCAGAGTGTTCCAGGTCCTGTTAGTCTGTTGTTGTTCTGTTGTGCACTTGATGGGACTTGTATTGTCTGTGGTGACATGTATTACATCTTCTCGGGTGATGACATAGATCTGTGACAGCAGCCTCTAGTATTTGTAAAAGGTAGTTAAGTGTTTGTTAAAATTACTCAGATGATGAATTCTAAGAGGAAGTTCAGTAGGAGTGAGAAAGATTAAGTTAGTGTTAATAGTTTTTGTTACTTGTCCCCCCCCCCACCAGGTGATGAAAGATTTCCGTGAGGGCAGCTACAACACGTTGGTGTCCACGTGTGTTGGAGAGGAGGGACTTGACATCGGCGAGGTTGACCTCATTGTTTGCTTTGATGCCCACAAAAGTCCGATAAGACTTGTACAGAGGATGGGGCGTACAGGCAGGAAACGGCAGGGGCGCATCGTTATGTTAGTGACAGAAGGCAAAGAAGAACAGGTAAAGGTTTCTATGTAGATCTCGTAGTCCTAATATTCAAAGTAAATTTAACATTTTATACCCATCACTACAAAAAGCAAAGGTAATGAGGTTTTCATTTCCTCCATCTTTCTGTCCATTAGTGATTTTCATAATAATGTTGTCACCAAAATGCAACTGTAGCTTAGTGGTAGGACGCCAGACTCGTGACCAAAGGGTTTGCGGGTTTGAGTCACGGCACGGCACGGCACTGTGTTGTTTCTTTGAGCAAGATACTTTACTCCACTTGTTCCAGTCTACTCAGCTGTAGATGAGTATGTGGTTGGGCAGTGCTAGAATTTTAGAATGCTAGCTGTGAGTGCTGAAATGGCATTACCGGCTGTATGCTCCCCAGGGTGTTTAGAAAGATATTGGTTGGTTGCAAAGGCCCTATAACCACGGATTATAATTTGTGAACCCCTTTGAGACAACCTACATAGATTGCGATAATATAAAGCAGTAAAGAAGAACCTCAAGTTATTATTATTATAACTGTCAAGTTCCAGTACTTGGATATTTGTGTTTCATAGTGCTTTGCCCTAGTTCAAGGTCACTGTTACTATCAATAAAATGTATTTGTAATTGCTCTTTAAGCTCATTTATGATCAAATCTTTACAAACGACTCTAATATCTTGATGGATGTCCGGTAGGTTAAATATTTTCATTGCCATCGGTATGATACTTACTGCAATAACAATCTTTTACACACCACAGCTCAAGTTTCACACAACACAACTAACTTACCTTCAGTGAATTCCCGTAGTCAAGCACTCATTTTGAGTTGTCCTACAATGCTGGAAGGGGACATCTATGAATTGAAATTGAAATGTCAAGGGCACTTTTAATATGAAACTTAGTTGTTTTTGTAGCAGAGTACAAGTATGTACATCAGTTATGTTTTGACTCAATGTTTGGACCATGGACAGAAAAATGACTTGTTCATTGTATACAGGTTTCCAGATTATATAGGGTACATGCAGTAAAGGTTACATTGTACCTAGGCCTAGTTTCACTACCCCCTAAAGTCAGGATTGATTCTAGAACTGAATGATCAACCCTAGATAAAAAAAAATATAAAAAAGTACTTACAGTGTTTTAATATCATGAATTTTATTATTATACAGATTTACAACCAAAGTCAGTATGCCAAGAAAAGTATTCACAAGGCGATCCTCAACGGTGCCAAATCTCTCCATTTCTACCAAAATAACCCACGCATGGTACCAGAGGGGTGGATGCCAGCCTGTCACAAGATGCACATTACTGTCAAACAGAATATTCAGTCAAAGAATGCCCCGAAGAATGCTTCTAAAGTCAACCGAGACTCTAGGCAGAGTAAAATCAAATTCCAATCCAAATCTACCGCAGGTTTGTAATATATATACAAACTGTCTGCTGTCCTGAAGACTGATGTTAAGACTAATTCATGATAATTGTCATCCTCGATACTCCAGGGGTTGCGCCAACTTTTGCTCTCTGCACCCCTGGAATATTAAATTTAAGGCACAGGGCTAGTTATTTGATTTGTCTCCGGTAGAAATAACCAGACCAGTCGCTAGGCTGATACCTCTCCTTTGAAGATAACAGAGGAGCGACATCCGACTTCAAAGCTCGTCAATTTTACTGTTACCCTACCAGGAGATTCTTTTGATGTACATCAAGGATCAAATTGGTCTTCTTGTCTCATCCGCCAGATTCGCACACACTGAGCCTTCAATTTTGCTATGACATTTTCCAGCGGTACAAAGAGCGAACGTAACCCCTGGAGTACCGAGGATTGATCATTGTAAACTTGTCTTAACCTTTTTGGATGAATTACAAGGAATCAAAGTTCAAACTGTGGTAATACTAATAATTGCTTGCATATAATATGAAACTTCAAGTATATATGCTTCACAAATAGAGGGAGAGTGCCGCACAACACTCACAAGTTCATACCATGAAGGTCAAGGTCATGGCAAAGGATCCAAGGTCAAATCTTTGTGATGCTTTTATGGACAATGAGTTTGGGTTGCTTTCACATTCTCTACTCAAACCTCAAAGAAGTGCCCATCATGATCTTTGTAGATGTGTGGATCGTGGTTTAACACCATGACAGTGTTGTGGAACAGTTTCTGGACTACTAAACACCATGACAGTGTTGTGGAACAGTTTCTGGACTACTAAACTCCATGACAGTGTTGTGGAACAGTTTCTGGACTACTAAACTCCATGACAGTGTTGTGGAACAGTTTCTGGACTACTAAACACCATCACAGTGTTGTGGAACAGTTTTTGGACTACTTAACACCATCACAGTGTTGTGGAACAGTTTCTGGACTACTATACACAATGACAGAGTTGTGGAACAGTTTCTGGACTACTAAACACCATCACAGTGTTGTGGAACAGTTTTTGGACTACTTAACACCATGACAGTGTTGTGGAACAGTTTCTGGAATACTAAACACCATGACAGTGTTGTGGAACAGTTTTTTGACTACTAAACACCATGACAGTGTTGTGGAACAGTTTCTGGACTACTAAACTCCATGACAGTGTTGTGGAACAGTTTCTGGACTACTATACACCATGTCAGTGTTGTGGAACAGTTTCTGGACTACTATACACCATGACAGTGTTGTGGAACAGTTTCTGGAATACTAAACACCATGACAGTGTTGTGGAACAGTTTCTGGAGTACTAAACACCATGATAGTGTTGTGGAACAGTTTCTGGACTACTAAACACCATGATAGTGTTGTGGAACAGTTTCTGGACTACTAAACACCATGATAGTGTTGTGGAACAGTTTCTGGACTACTAAACACCATCACAGTGTTGTGGAACAGTTTTTGGACTACTTAACACCATCACAGTGTTGTGGAACAGTTTCTGGACTACTATACACAATGACAGAGTTGTGGAACAGTTTCTGGACTACTAAACACCATCACAGTGTTGTGGAACAGTTTTTGGACTACTTAACACCATCACAGTGTTGTGGAACAGTTTCTGGACTACATGCGAAAGGGCAACTTGAGGATCCCTGTATATGTACCACTGCCAAAATTTGAAACTATGCATTCGAAACTTATTTTTCCAGCATGACTAGCTTTGATAAATTGTGGATCGTGGTTTAACACCATGACAGTGTTGTGGAACAGTTTCTGGAGTACTAAACACCATGATAGTGTTGTGGAACAGTTTCTGGACTACTATACACCATGACAGTGTTGTGGAACAGTTTCTGGAGTACTAAACACCATGATAGTGTTGTGGAACAGTTTCTGGACTACTATACACAATGACAGAGTTGTGGAACAGTTTCTGGACTACTAAACACCATCACAGTGGTGTGGAACAGTTTTTGGACTACTTAACACCATGACAGTGTTGTGGAACAGTTTCTGGAATACTAAACACCATGACAGTGTTGTGGAACAGTTTTTTGACTACTAAACACCATGACAGTGTTGTGGAACAGTTTCTGGACTACATGCGAAAGGTCAACTTGAGGATCCCTGTATATGTACCACTGCCAAAATTTGAAACTATGCATTCGAAACTTATTTTTCCAGCATGACTAGCTTTGATAAATTAATTTTGAAAAGAAAAGTATACTTGGTGGGACTTTTATGAAAATGTAATTAAGATGAAATAAACTAAATATAATCAACAAACATGTCCTGTATGTAAAACATTCTGCGGGACTAGACCGGGATTCGAACCCTAAATTTTAGATTGTTATACCATCACTGAAACCAACTGAGCTACTAGACAATGGAAGTATACAAGCCCTAATGTGCTACAGTTATACCCTAATGGAAGTTAAGGGGAGGTAACTGTATGTGTTGGAAAAACAGCAGTGCAGAGGAACAGGAATCCTTAATGACAAGGGGTCGGGGGTTATACCCTAGTGAGCCTTCGCTCTGAGTTTATTGGTCCAACACAACCTAACCTGCATACATATCTTCTATAAGTCTTAATTATAATGTATATTGTTATTGTGTACAGACGGAAAAGGTGACGATGGCCTGCTGACAGCAGAGGAGTACCGGGACCTTATCCAGAACTTCTCCGTACCCGCGGACAGTTTACCCACCCTGCCTTCAAGGTTACCGCTGCTGGCTTTAGGGGAAGAACATGTAAGAGATACAAAATAAATCAACTCTAGGTTCTTAGCGCCTCGTCGGATTTTGCTATGGATTTTGATCAAACTCTATACGATGATTAGAACACTTGAAACAAGTTCAGTATTCGCTGATTGAAACCACAGGCTGTTGTATTTGTGAGGGGATTTGTACTGTGTTTAATGTCTTGTTTTGCATGGAAATTCAGTCACCAGTTCTAGTATATATAGTTTTTATTCCTGCATAATGTGTTCAGCATAAGTTCCATTATTGTCATCAAGTGGGATTTATATTGACTAAAGCCTGCTCTTACAATAATATTGATTCATATAAACTGAAGTTTGTTCTGTCATCCTGAGGATTTATATAGACTAAGATTGTTCTCTCAACCATGGTTTTGCTGCGGAGTGATTCTAGGTGAAAAAAACGGAGAAGTCGACATGACAAACTATTTGCCACATTTTGAATTTTTGCTGGACACAAATAAGTACTTCATTTAGGCATTGGACTGGTTTCAGTTGGCATTCATCAGCAGCGTGAATGTCAAGTGGACAAAGGCATTTAAAAAAAAACTCAAAAAAGATAATAAGATTCCTTAAAACAACAGGCTGTTATGTTAGATATGTCATGCTTTCTTAACTCCTTGTTTCAGGAGGTGACCCGAGCTGGTGAGAGGCGAGTTCTCTGTGAATGGCTGCCTTGGCAGAATCGTCTACAGCAGACCTTCAAAATAGACCATTCAACGAAAACTAAAAACTTTGTAGAACTGATGCAGTTTAGTGAAATTCAGCGTAAGTAAATGTATTTAGAACATTAGTTGGAATTCACCAGTAAAACTTTTTGATTAATAATGGGAAATGTGGACAAATTTAAATATTGAGTTGTGAAATATTCAATCAAACATAAAAAAAAAAAAGTTATTTATATCTATTTTTGTGGTAACATCTACAGCACTTTGTGGTGATTTATTATGATTGGTATGCATAATAATACGTCTAATGATGTACTATCCTTTAAGTGTTCTTATACTCTGATCCTTCTTTATTGAATTCAAGAAACCCTAGACCCGAATGAGGATCCATACGGAGATGAAATGAGCCTGTTTCTTAATGAGGACGATGTAATGAAACCGGAGGAGACAAGTGGCCGAGGAGGGGCTGGAATACGAAAGTTCTGCATCTCTGTGGACAAGGGAGGCAACCTAGCGTCAACAGTACAAAAAGGCAAAGGGAGACGTGTCCGGAAGAGCGAAGTGTTGCCGGTGTTAGAAATCAGTGGTGATGAAGATAGCGAGGACGATTTGCCAGATTTTAACATCAACCGTACTAGGAATGAACAACAAACCTCTTTTCTAGGAAACAAGAAAGGGAAGAAGGGCAAGCGTCAACTTCTACCGAAATCTGTGTCGGTATTAACAGAAATTCCAGAGTCTGCGTCTGTTGTAAAGAAAAATAAAAAGGACAAGAAGCGTTCCGTGAGTGGCGACAGATCTGTGGTACAGTTGATAGCCGATACTGAAAGCAGAGATTTTACTGATGAAGAAGACAATGTAAGTAAAGTACTACCCCCTTTAGATGAAACAATGTCTCACATCGATCAAGAAATTGAGACCGTCCAAGACAATCAGGACGTGATACAGGAAGATATGGACCTTTCTGATATCAATTATTCTCCACTTGAAGTCAGTAATCATGAGCAGATGGAAGTGGAAAATGGAAAAGAAGAAGATTGGTCCGTTTCACAGCTCCTTCCTAAGGTTTCTCTCGTTCATTTGGACACTGGTCTGGATACGTCAGAAACACTGGGCAATGCAAATCTGTTTCACGTTCGAACACCTCCTCCTTTGGAGCAAGTTCGACAAATTGTAGCTGACCTTGACAAATGTGAAAAGTTACCTCCCCTTGATCTGTTACAGCTGGTTGATGAATGGGAAAAGGAAAACCAGGATTACCACTACCAAAAAGGGCGCCATTGTCAGCTTCATGGATCTGCCTTCAAGGGAACGAAAGGTCAGTCTGGTAGAGACCAAGCGCTTGGCCGTTCTTCATCCGAGGAAAGGTCACCAACTAGTGATGACAAGGTCATGAATGTTAGTTCTGGAACTGGCAGAAAATCAAAAATCAAAAGAAGAATGTTAGAACCATTACAGGATATCCACATCCACACAGCACATCGGCCTCCACCCAAAATATCTGTGGAATCTTTACAGGAACATGAACACTTTGACATTGTAGGACATAACGAAATCGTTTCTGACGAATCAGACCTTGAATGTAATCATTCTGATGCTGAGGCTTTTCAGAACAAAGGGAGAGAACCTCTCCAAGCTGTTCCAAGTGATAAAGAGACGTCTCCAGTCAATCAGGCTCATGTTCCACCAAGAAAAGCGGGAGTTGAGGAGGAAGTTTTGTCGGATGATTCTGACATTTTTATCGACACACAGGCAAATTTTGCTTTGACTGTAAACGTGGACGAAGATCCATTTGAGGTGGAGAGAAAATCTTCATCTGTCACAAGCGATGAAATCCAAAATGATCTACAGAATGTTGTGCTGGATAGTAAGGTTAATGAGGAAGAGATTTCAGTGACGCGAGAAAAAAGTACTTCAGTGACGCGAGAAAGAAGTACTTCAGTGACGCGAGAAAGAAGTACTTCAGTGACACGAGAAAGAAGTACTTCACTTTCCTCAGATGATAATTTTTTCGACACTCAGGCAAATTTTTCGTTACAAGACGATGACCTTTTTGGTGATGCGGACATACACCAAAGTCACACAGACACAAAAAAGTCTTTATCTTCGGCAGGAAATATCGAGAACCAAGAATGTTCAGAAAAGGTTGAAGAGATCAAATTGATGGATAGACTTGAAGATTTAGAAAAGGAAAAGTGTACTGATTCATCTATGAATGTTGATTCCGCAAAAGACAGAAAACTAGCAGAAGAGGACTGTAGTAAAAGCAGCGTAAAACCAGGGATAGGGAATTGGAGTAGTGTGTCTGCTGGTAATAATAGGACCATGCCATGCAGATCTGCAGACGTTTCTTTATTTGATGATTCGTACGATAATGAAATGCTGAAGGCCCTAAAAACTCAAAGGAGCTGTACTGTCTCGCCCACTCAGTTCACATTCACGCAAGCTCTTGCATGTGTGCACGACAGCAATGAACTCCCGTCCGAGAATTCCGAAAATGATGTGGACCCAGAACAGGGAAAGAAATCCGGAAACAAATCAGTGGAGAATGACTTCCTTACAGAGAAATCTGTGAAAGAAGTTCATAAACCACTGCAGGATCCCAAGACAGTTTGTAACAAAACTCCAGACAGGGGTCTAAATACTTTAAGGGACGTAAAGGGTGCAGGAAGGAAAGACATTGAAGAAGGATCTGAACATGATTCTACAAGTAACATCACAAACCATCACCCAACGCGGGATACGGGAGACAGTTCGGACGAGTGTAGTAAAGACTCGTTTGATTTACCTCATTTTGATTTGGGTTTCGATGTTGACGAGGACGTCATTCCTCCGTCACCCTGTGCTAGCCAGTCTTTCTCACAGAAGTCTTTTTCTGCCTGTTTAAGTCAGAGCCTGCTCAAAAGCAGGAAATCTTTGTCCACAAAATTTGACTCTTCATGTGTCTCTGAAAAACCATCCAATGTCAACTCTAACAAAGTGGGAGGCACTGTTGGTATGAGTTTGATTGAGGAAGACTCCGAGGAGTTTTCTGACCTTAATCCAGTTATCAGTAAACCAGGGAAAAGTTTTCATTTGGGCAAAGATTCTAGTGAATTTTCCAGGACAGTTCTAGTAAATGGTAAGAAAAGTACAAAGCACACGACAACAAAAATTGATTGTGATACTAATAGTGCAAATTCTGAAGGGAACAATAATGAAACAAATTTAGGAGCTTTAAACAAGGACCCAGGCAATCCAATCAACTTACAAAGGAGTAAGTCTAGTGTAGAATCTGTTGGAATTCCTGCTCGTAAGTCTCTAAACAGTCTCGCAAACTCCAAAGTGAACCATCGTAACAAATTTGAAAAGGAACATTTGTCGTCTACAGGTGTATGTAGCACAAACCTGGCTGAGGAAAATCACAGCGTTTGTGATATTAGTGATAGAACCACCATAAATAACTTGAAAAGGTCACCCCTAAATATTGGTACACCTAAGCATAAAATGGATTTCAGGACACCTGATTGTCATCTAGAACCGTTAGAGATCAATTCATGCAATGTTGACAAATGTGAAGTCGATGACGGTTCATCGCCGGTGTCAGATAGGTCACCTATTCATGTTAAGTTACTTTCACCAGGTTCCGAGGATGAAATCATTGTCAGAAAAAAACGAAGTACCATGATACTAGATTCACCGTCGCCAGTGTTCACACAAACTAGAAAGCTGGTGTTGGAAAGGTCACCGATTCATGCTCAATTACCCTCCCCAGAGTCGGAGGATGATATCGTTGTCAGGAAAAAACGAAGGACAATGATAATAGAATCACCGTCACCAGTGTTCACACAAAACAGAAGACGCCCTGAAGATCAAACGACTCCATTTAGAACACTGGGTGAAATTTCATACGTGAATACTTCTACTACTGGAAATCACATGTCAAGTTTGACAAAAGACACAAAGAATAAGGCCAAGAAATTAAGATTTAACGTCTCCTTTAAACTTCCAGAGCTTGAAGAATTTGATGATGATGATGACGATGACTTTGCCGATGACAAATCAGCCTTGGCAAGAAACAGATCTTCCGCTGCTTCTGAGGTTTCAAGGAAAAGGTCTACGGCGGCAGAAAAGAAAATTGTCAAACGAAGGACAAAATCGAAGTCTCCAGCTGACATGTTTATTAATGCCGAGGCTGAGATGTCAGATGACCATGAAGGTGTTTCGGATGATGAGGATGACGGGAGTGACATGGATCAGATGGATGACAGTTTCATCGGTGAGGCGACACAGATGTCACAGGGACGGCACGAGGACATGCAGGCATTCTATCTCAAATCAGTCAGGAGTCCTAATGTTGGACGGAAATTCCGGCTTAAACACAACCAAGGAAACATTGACGTGTTCTCACAGCCCCAAAACCATGAACAGTCATATTATATGCAAGACAGCTTTTGTGTGGACGATGATTTTGAGGAGACAGGTGTTGACTTTGAGGAGGAGGAAGAGGAGGAGGAGGAAGATGTTACATTGTTAGACGACCCTGATGTAACATACGTTGGGAGGAGGACTCGCTGGTCAAAACCAGCAGCCGTCATGAAGAAAAAGGTAGTGAAAAATGTGCCTGGAAGAAAAAGAATTCAGAAAATGTCCGATTCATCTAGTGATGAGGAGAGTAAGAGGTGTGAGGTAACTACAGTGGCGACACCTCGAGTGTCGGATGGTAAACGGCGGGGACGAGTACTGCTGTCAAGTAGTACGAGTGATGAGGAAATGGACTGTAAAAATGGGTCTCCTCCTAGAGTTATCTCCCCTGCTGGAGGGACGCAGGATGTCATACCGTCACTCATGACCAGGATAAAGAACCACAGTACTGTGAATTCAAGTTGTGTATCGGAATTACGGTCAAAGATAGTGTCGTGCTCCACTTCTACAACTGGGTCTTCAAAGTCTAGTCATGTTGCTGGTGTACCGAGTCATCAGAGAGATAAATCTAGTGCCTGGTTAAATACAAGTCATAGTGCTGCAGACAAATCTGTGCCTGGACTGAATATAAGTCATAGTGAAAAAACTGGTTCTGGGTTGAATACAACTTCAAAAGCTGAACAAATGCGTGCAGAACGATTGCTGAAACAGAAAGAGAAACAGGAAGAGTTCAAAAGGAGAATGGCAGAGAAGACAATGGAAAATGCAATGTCCGAATCATCTGTGACGAAAAGTGATATAAATAAGTCAAAGACTGAGACCAATGAAGTGATACAATCAGAATGTGATACGTCAAGTGCTTGTGCCGAGGAACTAGTGTTGACCACTGCTCCGAAGGAAAATGCCAATAAATCTGTGATATTTGTGGACTCGAGGGAAATCAATGGTTCTCAGAACATTGTCTCAGAACTGCGTTTCAAACACAACATTTCTGTGGTAGTCGCCCAGCTGGCTGGGTGCGATTACGTGGTCAGCAACCGAATGGGAGTAGATCGAAAAGTGTGGTCAGAATTTACCAACGGGTCGAATCATTCCAAACTTATCGACCGAATACAACAATTGTGTGAGTTGTATGACCGGCCATGTCTGATCATAGAATCCGACCCTGTGAAGGGGTCCGACAAGGGAGGTAATCGTCTCCTTCATTGGACCAAATATGTGGACAGGACCATTGTCCAGTTAATTAACTCTAGTATAAAAACGTACTTCACTGCTGGTCAGTTAGACACTGCAGCCATTCTGGCCGACCTCTGTATGCTTGAGACGCGAAAAAATATGGTAATCAGTGTACCAGTGAATGTTAGTGATAAAAAACAGCAACATGTAAAATTCTACTCTTCTATTCCTAAACTTACCCACATTCACAGCCTCAACCTGGCATATAACTTCAGGACTATAAAAGACTTTCTATCGGCCAGTGTTCAGGCTGTTAAGAGTAAAGGTTGTATGTCTGAAAAGCGGGCAGAGGAAGTGTATAATTTTGTGAGGAGAAACTTTGACATACAAATGTTACCTACAAGTTATGGGTAAATTGTTAAAATATGAATTTTTACCATTTTTATTGATATTTTTTTTTAATAAAATATGTTACAAAATTACCCTTAACCTTTTCATGAATTCCATAAATACATATCATCTTCATGTTTGACTGCATTCCGAGTTGTTACTGAAGTTAATAATTCCCGTTGTAAATCAAATTTTGTTATATATTTGTCCTATGTACTTGGTATCTAATCGTATCAAAGATAAAACTAGGTTTCTTTTGACTACCAGTTGATGTTGACAGTGTTCTCCCAAGGTCCTGGATTTACATAATCTTCCCCTACCTTGAGAGTTTAACAGAGAAATTCCCAAACTGAGGGGGTGTCTAACCTAAGGCTCTGAATCAACCTTATTATCATCCCTTATCGGTGAAATCTACAGCCTGAGGATTGTAATTTTCTTTGTTAAACCCTCAAGATAAGGGATGATTATTTTTCTCCCAACATTCCAATACTATGTTAAAAACAACAGTTTTCAGCATTTGAAATGAGTTTTTATGTAGATTTGCATATGACCTCTCCTGTTGGTGTCAAGGGCAAATTTTAATTACATATCTGATTGTTCCTATTCCATCATAGTAATGTCCCATTTTACCTGAGCCCGTAACCATAAAACCTCAAACTCACAATCTGTGTTGAGATCTGATGATAAATTAATAGATTAAATCAAATTTTGTCAAAAATATGGAAAAATTGGATAGACTATAAACTGAATACAGTTTTCAATGATGGGAGAAAGGGAAATAAAAAAAAAATGATGACGGTAAGCTTCAGTGAGTACTAGAACAAGTTATGCATAGCAGTATATTTATGCTTGACAGTGCTGCTGTAGAAAAACATCCAGGGGAAAACATAGTCTGTCTCATTTAAACCATTTTGTTACCCAGGCATGAACGTACTACACAACAACTTATTGAATAGAATTTAGCCTGTCTCTATCAAAAACAGTGTATGGAGCAGAAATTATGGAAAGTTACAAGGCAATCAAGTTTGCTCAAAATGGTGACATTGACCCACTTCGAGGTCATAGGAGTCAAATTGGTGGAAATATTGTAACATTTCTTTTTCTGAATAACTGAGAGGCTTGAAAAATGGTGTTTGGCCAGAAGCATGATGGTCTACGGCTTTGTTTAAATGAATGACCTTGACCCACTTTTATAGTCACTTGTGTTAAAATGTATTAAAACATTTCAATAACTTCTGAATAATAATCAAGAAGGCCTAGGGTGATAGCATTTGGTACGTAGCATGCTGGGATGGGACTCTCAAGTGTGATTAAATGAATTTGAATGTTACAGCACTGAATGCCAACTAAGCAATACAGGCATAATGGGCCTTTTGTTTAGTTGATGTCCTAGGTAAGGTTATATCTCATGTGAAACATGTTTTGTAGAAAAAACTTTTCAAAAGAAAATCAGTTATCCTTTTATTGACCTATTATAAATGCAGGAAATCAATACTGGTTTATTACTGGTATGGGAGTACCACAGCAGCTGTTTCTTATCTCGTATACCTAAATAATAGATACCTAGGTAAAGGTTGATAACTGGGTCACTGCTTTTACACAATCCTCATACACAACAATCAATAATAGTATTTTAACAGAAACTGGTTGAATACTCAGAATAAACAAGTTAAGCTGTTGAGAGTAATTTTGAACTGAACTCAATGGTAATTTTTAGCTCACCTGTGCCGAAGGGCCATGTGAGCTTATGCCGTACTGCGGCGTCCGTCTGTCGTCCGTTGTCCGTCCGTCAACTTTTTCTTTTGAGCGGCTTCTTCTGAAGAACTGTAGGATCTAGGGTCATGATATTTGGCCTGTAGGTACCTTGGATGGAGTGTTATAAAGTTTCCTCATTAAAATGACCTTGACCTACTTTCAAGGTCACAGCGGTCAAATATGTGAAAAATTTCAAACAACAATATCCTAAGAACCATTTGAACTAGAGTCATGATACTTGGGTATGTTGTGCAGACCAGCAGTTCGAATATTTTTCTTAATTACAGTTATGTGGTCAAAGATCAACTTTAAATGCTAGTCTCAGATGTCAACTTTGGTTAAAAGCTTTAACAATCTTCTTCTCAATTTCCATAAGGCCCAGGGTCATGATATTTGGCCAGTAGGTACCTGGGATGAAGTGCTATATAGATTCCTCATTAAAATGACCTTGACCTGCTTTCAAGGTCACAGAGGTCAAATATGTTAAAAACTTTAAACAACAATATCCTTAGAACCATTTGGACTAGAGTCATGATACTTTGGTATGTTATGGAGACCAGCAGTGCAAATCTTTTTCTCAATTACAGTAATGAAGTCAAAGGTCAACTTTAAGTGCAAGTCGGGAGTGAAAGGTCAACATGGGTTAAAAGCTTTAAAATTAAAATTTCAAGTAAGCTTTAAGATTAAAATTTCAAGTTTCAAACAACAATATCTTCAGAACCGTTTAAGAGATGTTTAAATGTCTTGTGTTCTAGTTACCTCTATGTCAGTTGCATGTAACAAAAAAACAGGTGAGCGATACAGGCTATCTGGGCCTCTTGTTTAACTGAAAATTGAATTTTTTTCAAGTCATTAAAATTTTGGAGTTACTCCCCTTAGACTGGTGGAGTAATTTTGATGTGTTACCCTGTCTATTGGAACCAAGATTTTCTTCAGATCAGCCAGGTTTTCCAATGATAGATTACAAGTTCACTGCACCCTACATATATGTACAAGTATTGGAGGTTAACTATTAGATTATTATTGTAAGGATTTGATTTGGACAGGTAACATACACTGATTTCAGATGTGTATATATAATATACAAAGGAATGCATGATCAACAGCAATTCAGTTGATATTCAGACAGACTTCTGATTTCAATGACTCTGGGGATGGGGGGAACTTATGAATAAACACATTTCCTCCAATTGTGGGAATGGAATGGGGGTTACAAATTTACTAATGACAAAAAGATTTCAAAAGGAGGGGAGCGCTGATGGAAATGTGTGTACCCCATCCAACATGAGACTAGGGACATAATCAGAGTGAGGGGTACATCTGGAATTAGCTTGGATGTCCAGCCATAGACACCATCTTACATGGACAACTTCTTTTCTTTCCATCTGTTTTTCCCAATAACTTTGGGGTGTTCGGGTGGCTCAGTGGATATCGCACTAGCCTTTCACAAAGGCAGTCGGGGTTTGATTCCCCAATTGGATGTTAAAAGGAATGGAGTCACCTGCCCGACAATATCGGTTTTCTCCAGGTGCTCTGGTTTCCTCCCAGCTGAAGATCCCCTGCACGCTAACATCTGGGCCAACAAGAGTGATAAACATAAGTTGTGATAAATAAAGTTTAAATAAAATTCATAACTTAACCCCACTCATATGTAACTATGCGTTTGTATCCTGCATACAGATCCCATGATTTTCACAGAGTTGTTACCCTTTTTGTACAGTCTGGGTTAGTCGCTCATTACATCAGTTATTTTTGAATTCTTAGATACCTGATGAGTATTGCACACATATATCAATGGTGGGTTTTTTTGTCAATTAAAATAGAAATATCAAGTTTCATATCCAAATATATACACATTTAAATTGCAAATATTTATAAACTCTGTAATTTTGATGTGTCAAATCTTAAGAAAAATACTTGGCTCCGATAAACACATCGTAATTTATTTAACAAGAAAACAACTTTTTGAGTCGCGATAAAACTTATCACCGGGCTGGAATGTTGCTACATGTATTACAATCCTCATCATGCACGCAAGTTTTTTAGCATGATAATTACAGATAAAGTTTAATTAAAAATGAATTGTCATAAAATATGATTCGTCATTTAGAGTTCCATGACTTGTGTGTTTTAGTGTTAATTCTAGACGTTACAAAAATATCAGTGATACAAATTTTAATGTGTCATCAATGTAATGAAACTTGATTGGACTGTAAACTTGATCACTGGCGTCTCCGTAACTCGGGTTCTGCACGTTGTAGCTCCACTGTTGTATATAGATTACCATAGATATTGATGTACTGGGAGGTTCATGTCACACAATGTAATGGATTATCGTAGGTATTGATGGATATTGCTGATTCATGATGCATGGGAATGTTCCGTCTGTCAAATTGTAATTTGCTTATAACTATAAATAAATAAATTCATTGTTATTAATCAATAACTCAAATATTCTAAATTAATATGCAGTAAGACTTATTCATCACATTGTATTTTTTTGTATTTTTTTTTGTCAAAATGAAAAAGAAATTGTAATTTCATATACACATGTATGTTTCTATTTCTACTAGCCCTGGTTAGGTTGAAGATACAATAAATTTGTAAGGAGATTTTTGTAGAATATCAGGCTTTGATCGAAATTTTAAATGTCAATCACCATGGGCAAAATGCAATTTATATGACTTATTGCCTTCGTCCTACTAGGCATACAAAACATGTTATTATGTATACAATTTACACTGTAACAGGTTCATTCAAATTCAACCTGCAGGCTCTGACTAAATCCTCCAGAGGAAGCACGGCTTAACACATGAATCTTATCTGTTTTAATGTAAGCCAAGCTGATACGAGGATTTTACGTAATACTTATATAAACTGATGAACAGTGTTCGACACAGTGTCCATTGTATATATACTATTATCTCAACACAAAGACTTACTGTCAGTGTAGTACACGAGTTAACAAACATCTATGTTCCGTCTGTGTCTGTATTACAGGGGATGTATATATTATCAACTAGGAAACAATTTGAATACAGTCCAACCTATTTGAGAAACCACCCTTCAAGAAATCCAAAAAAGGGGTCTCTTAACACTGGTGGTTTCCTGATACAGTAGTAGTTTGTGCCTGATAAGGCAGCTCCTGAGAATTCCTCAAAATTGTATTGATTAATGTATATGCTAATTGTATGAATTGTATTTCTATGTACTGTAAAGTGATTTAGAGTGGCTTATTCTAGCTAGATAGGGCGCTATATCAAATGTTGTATATTTTTATTTTATACAGGTTCAGTTCGCAATTCATTCACTACAATGGGGAACATTAAAAGTGGTCATTTAACACAGGTGGTCTCTTTATACAGGTTTAGTTCACAATGAAATCACTACACTGGGGAACATTTAAAGTGGTCACTTAACACAGGTGGTCTCTTTATACAGGTTTAGTTCACAATGAAATCACTACACTGGGGGACATTAAAAGTGGTCACCTGACACAGGTGGTCTCTTTATACAGGTTCAGTTCACAATGAAATCACTACACTGGGGGACATAAAAAGTGGTCTCTTAACACAGGTGGTCTCTTTATACAGGTTCAGTTCACAATGAAATCACTACACTGGGGGACATTAAAAGTGGTCACCTAACACAGGTGGTCTCTTTATACAGGTTCAGTTCACAATGAAATCACTACACTGGGGGACATTAAAAGTGGTCACCTAACACAGGTGGTCTCTTTATACAGGTTCAGTTCACAATGAAATCACTACACTGGGGGACATTAAAAGTGGTCACCTAACACAGGTGGTCTCTTTATACAGGTT